GGAAATTTTTTTTTTTTTTTTAGGGGGGTGGGGTCCGAGAGGTGTTACCTGTGCTGGTATGGCAAACCGTTCTGGCCGCAGGAGAAGGAGGAGGACGACGAGATCGGAGGACGAGGAGGAGAGATGGAGGATGAGGAAGGGGAGGAGTAGGACGAGCGGGAGGAGGAGGAGGAGGAGGAGGACCTGGAGGAGGAGACGAAACGGAGGGATGGGACTACAGAGAAGATTAGCACGACCTCTGCGCAAGGATGATACGCACAAATCGAGAAAAGGTCAAAAAAAAAAAAAAAAAACTCGACATATTCGACACCTGTGGGAGAGGAGGAGGAAGAGGAGGAGGAGGAGGAGGACGACGAGAACGGAGGACGAGGAGGAGAGATGGAGGATGAGGAAGGGGAGGAGTAGGACGAACGGGAGGAGAGGAGGAGGAGGAGGAGGAGGAGGGGAGGAGGACGACCTGGAGGAGGAGACGAAACGGAGGGATGGGAACGATACAGAGAAGATTAGCACGACCTCTGCGCAAGGATGATACGCACAAATCGACAAAAGGTCAAAAAAAAAAAAAAACTCGACATATTGGACACCTGTGGGAGAAGAGGAGGAGGAGGAGGACGACAACGGAGGACGAGGAGGAGAGATGGAGGATGAGGAAGGGGAGGAGTAGGACGAGCGGGAGGAGAGGAGGAGAGATGGAGGATGAGGAAGGGGAGGAGTAGGACGCGCTGGAGGAGAGGAGGAGGAGAAGGAGGAGGAGGAGGAGGAGGAGGGCAGGAGGACGACCTGGAGGAGGAGACGAAACGGAGGGATGGGAACGATACAGAGAAGATTAGCACGACCTCTGCCCAAGGATGATACGCACAAATCGAGAAAAGGTCAAAAAAAAAAAGAAACTCGACATATTCGACACCTGTGGGAGAGGAGGAGGAGGAGGAGGAGGAGGAGGAGGAGGACGACGAGAACGGAGGACGAGGAGGAGAGATGGAGGATGAGGAAGGGGAGGAGTAGGACGAGCGGGAGGAGAGGAGGAGGAGGAGGAGGAGGACGAGGAGGAGGGGAGGAGGACGACCTGGAGGAGGAGACGAACGGAGGACGAGGAGGAGAGATGGACGATGAGGAAGGGGAGGAGTAGGACGAGCGG